TTATATACTCTTTCTAGTTATATTGTTATTTGACATTATAGTTAAACAAAAAAACCACTTTTTTCAAATTACTGGAAAAAGCTGGAAATATTTCGATTTTTTTTCCAAAAAATTTTTTTTTATTACTATTTTGCTATATAAATGACATAATACTCAATACTTTCTTCATCAAATTAATGTGATCCAAAATTATGTAATCTTATTTTTATTAAAATTTTTAATTATCTTTCTATTTTTATACTAAAACCTAATCTAACCTTCCTTTAATGCATAACAAATTAGACGAATGCGCAAGTGATTATTATGATGTAGCATGGTGCCTCTCATAGTATAATACAGGAATAAAAAACAGATCTTACATGCAGAAAAAAGATTAGCCAATGCAGCTAAAACATAAATTTTAACTGTGGCAGTTAAAATGTGTCCTTATAATAGGGACAGCTAATATCGTTGTTGCCAAAGCTTAATTTATTATCTGCTAAAATTTAGGTGTTGCAGTGAAAAATATTCTCTACTAGAATAAAATGACAAACGGTAGCATCTCAGAAATAATTGTGAATGAAATATTCGATTATACGGCTAAAATAATGAGGAATAGCTACTACTTACTTAGTTACTCATGTTGTGTGTTTTTAATTTTAATTAATAAACTTAGATGTAAATGTATTTTATCTTTAATAGCCAACTTTTAGCAATAATAGCAAATTTAAGTTTGAACCAGCAACTGATATTTAACTGATCTTACAAAATTCTTTTTTTTGTGTGTATAATTATTTGCTCTTAAAATTTTTGTACTTAAAACAAAATAGATATATATTTGAGCGTTGAAAAGAAAAGAAAGCGAAGATACGGAGTGAGAAGAATATCTGGGCGAGTTAAAAGTATGTTTATAAAGATGTCATTAACTCTTGAAATTGCGAGTAAGGATAAATTTTTAAAAAATTTTGTAATTTTTTTTATTCTAAAGACTTTATTCTAATTTATTCTCGTTGGTGCAATAAAATATGTTTTGTATGTTTTATACATGTTTTTGATAGAATACACTGTACAACTTTAATCTTTAATACAATTTCAAAATTTTTGTTAATTTATCCAAATTATCTCGGCTATATTCTATAGAGAATTATTTACAAAAAAAATCGAGAAATAAATATGACATTTACGCATGAATTTTTCCAATGACTTTTTCTATCCTTGGAAAAAAATGAAAAATTTCGCGGAAAAATAGGAAAAATTCGATTCTTTAAAATTATATTTGACATTAAGAGTTCTTGGTTTCGATTAATTTAAATAAATTAATTTCAATTAAATTTTTATGTATATTAACATATACTCGAGTTATATTCTTCAAATAATCTTTTGACAAATTACAGATTTATTTTATTTTCGTATCGGTTAAGTCGATTTTCGAATAGCCAAATGGACCAATTATTCTCTCTAAGCTCGCGTTGCAGTAATTTAGCGAAAAGAGAAACCTGCGTCATTCGTGAAAAACGTGGTGCTCGTACATGACGTTCGTGAGATCACCGTCGATCGATGTACTGGCGATGTGCATGAACACGGCACAGCACGGCACGATATATATCCTTGTTTCCACAACACAGCTCTTCACCAGGACGAGACGGTGCGATACCGGGAAATTTTACACCCAGCGTCCGTGTCGCACGGACATCTTGTTTGGCGGATCCATCTGTAGCCCGGAGCACGTGTTCGCGTTTTCGCAAGCCGTAACCGTATATCATCGAACCCAGGACGATGTTATAGATACGTAATACCTTCCCGTGCAACGGATCGAGATACATACACGGCGTTCGACTTTCGTTGCGACCACGATCGTTGTATTACCGATGAGAGATCACTAAGAAGGTAGCTCTATATAATCCATGAGTTCTATAAGCCATTTTCTTCCTTAATGCTGGATATTATTGTGTTTTTCGAGCGAATTTTCCATCTGTATGGTTGAAAGTTTGAATAACGCGAAAATGGAAAAATAAATAGCTCAAAGAGAAACCCTTTTAAAACAATATTATTTAAAATATATTTAAAATTCAATGAGAACAGTGTTATAGTACGTTCTTATAACATGTAGCTTTTTAATACAAATATAACGTAGCTTTTAATAATATTTATTAACAATATTAAAAGAAAGGGATATGAGAGAGAGAAAGAGGGAGGAGAATATTTCATCAATAATCTGCATTCGTTTCATTGTTAGATGCTTCCATAAGTAGATATCAATAATTTAAAAAGTGATAATAGTTTTATGGATAATGCAAATGTTGCAGTAAGATGACGAGGTTTGTAAGATGTACAGTTCATTTCTCTACTTGTCTTACGATCGTCATTTAGCACTTTGAGAACTTCTCTCTTGCGCTTTATAGGACAAAGCAATTTGTGCGGCCATTAATGTCCGCGGTTAACAACCCGTAGTACAATGTCAATTACACGGTGGTGTGAACTACAAATTTGCTTCGTCAACGTGACTCTATGATCACTCTATACTTTTTGTTCTCGTAACAGTTATGTAAAAAAAATACATGAATTAAAGGAAACTGATAGAAGAAAGTGAATACGTTTATATTTAATTCATTTATATTTAATATGATATTTCTAACAATTTTATCTATAATATATAAAAATTTATTATCTAAATTTACACAAATAGTATGATTTTCTGAAATATTTAAAAATTTAGTTTTTAAAATTTAGTTTTTAATATACAGATCTGAAAATAATTGTTGAATCTTTAAAATAATTATGTAGAACACTTAAACTATACATTGATGACAATCTTGCAGTTTTAACATATTCAGCATTCTAGAAATTTAATTTAAGCGTCTTACAGAATGTTTAGTTTAATGATTCCAACAAAATTATTTTCATATCTAGCTAAATTTTTAGATACTCGAGCAACATTCTTTTCGTGCAAACTAATCTATTTTTAATCTTGAAAATCAAAGATAGATGAAAAAAAAATCGTTTTAATATTTTGTGATCAACGATTTCGATTTTGCTATCAAATAATTACTCAACGTGTAATTGAGAAATAATAATACTTCGATATTTCGTAATAATGATAATAGAACGTGACGACCGTCTTGTTTACGTCAATTGAATAATTAGATAAATTTTTGTCGATCAGCCGAGCTTGATTTTCGCTCTTCCGCTTTATCCGCATTTTGCGTCGCCCCGGGTTCGCTTTTATTCCCGCTTCTCCCTTTTTCTTCCTCTTTCCCTATTTCGCCTGCGGCGGTGCGCATGTAAGTTATCGGTGTCCTGTTACATCCAGTTCCAGTTACACGTGCCGCAGGGCACCGATGCATTCGATATCGTTTCCCCGCGTGCTCTCGTACGCAGCAGCACTTCTGAGTACGCGCGTCTCTCTCTCTCTTTCTCTCCCGCCCTCCCTCTCCCCCCCTCTTCCCCCTCCCACTCTATCTTTCTTCCCTCTCACTCACTCTCCATCTCTCCCCCCCCCCCTTCTCCTCTCTCGCTGTCTCCCCGGGGTTTTTCGTTTTACGATTTTAACGCGTTGCAAAAAACAAATTACCATGAAAGAAAACTCAATATTGCTGCAACATGTTATCAAACTTTTTACATAACACGGACAAATTATATTGCTTTGAGCTGTACTCTAGTCTCCAAATTTCTTCCGAATGTTTTTTTATACTCTCTGCAAACATCCAATACAAACATGAATATTTATATTGCCAAGAATAAATGTGTTCCTATTGTTATTTTTATTGATTTTACATCATTATTCTTTATGTTATGAATTTAAAAAAGAGCATTTATATGATAAATTTATATTCAAAAGTTCTCTTTAATTAATCAGTCGTTTAAAGCTTGCGCTCGTCGAGGGTTAATTTGAAGAATGCGTATCTCAATGTCGCCAAAGCGCGCTAACATGCTCGTTCTCTCTTACTCATACTTTATCGCTTCGTATATCGACTCCTGGCACTAAACATAAAACCTGTACGGGCCTCGGGTATCCCGGAGGTACAAGTTCCTCTTAAATAGGTCAATTGTTTTGCCCGGACGAGATTTCTGAGAATTGCGTTATACATTCACGTGCGGGCGGATCAGTCAATCGATGATGGAACGCTCAATCCATTGTCCAAGTTCTTGGAGTAACCGATCGTTGTCTCGGAATTCGTGATCGTTCATCAGTTTTCCGATAATTTCGGTGCCGCAACTTAAAACGCAACTTAAATTTATATTTCCATCTCAACGTATAAGTCAAATTATAAGAGCCAAAATAGCGGAAGTTTTACGAAGAAAAAGAATTACATCAAAACCGAATAAAGTCTTCTTGTGCTTATTGCATATCAACTATCGAAAAGAATCCATTGATTCAAGAGTTTTCCTGTCAAATTTTACATTAAATAAAGTTGGAGTAGAGAATTTTAGAGTTATTTAAAGACAAAGATTTTGTTTTGGATGGAACAATAAGCGTATTCAGCGGACTCAATATTTACTACTATTGTTGTATTCTTTTAATTATCATTCAATCAGAATTTTAGATCTAGAAGAATATATCAATAACAGCGAGCATTACTATTCAATTATTGAATCTGCTGAATGCAGTCATTGAGAATACTGAATCCATAATGGTACACGGAAACAATAGCTTTGCTGAAGTACTTAAAATGTATACAACATAATTTTGTTGAACCATCAAAATAATTATATAGGATGCTAAAACTGATTACTATAATATTAAAACTTTTTGAAGTATTATTCATCATGCTAGAGATTCTTATAAAATTATTTTCATCTGCATCTATAACTAAATTTTTACTTCAGTAAAATCCTCTCCACGTTTAAAGTGAAACTTCAATAAAATCTTGCTTTGATTTTATTGAAGTTTTATTTTAAACTTTATTTAAGACGTGGTGAATTTTTTGTGCTGAACTAATGAAAGAATTTCGCTTTATAATCAGATATATATCAGATATATCGCAGATGTGAGAAAGTGGAATTTCTCATAATCGTTTCAGTGAGCGGTTTCGTGTCCGACCTGCAGAGCGGATGTATCGGCGGCAACGCGAAGGACCTCGACTCCTCGTCAATTCCTAATAGCTTGGGCCGAGGTTTAACGTCGCATCATGTCTCCCTGAGCCACCATCATCACCACCATCATCATCCCCATCACAGTTTGCACAGCCCCAGCTCCGTGGTTCCCATGCACACCACCACTACCACCACCACCGCTGGCTCGACACACCATCACCTGGATGACAAGGGCTCGTCGCCCGTGGGCGCCCTTCATAGTACGACCAATAGCAATCCTTCCACACCATCCGCACCCTCCACGCCCACTGCAGCCACTACCGATAATACTGTGGCCAACGTCGCGACTGGCACGACCAACAGCACCAACGGTGGTTCCTCCGCTGCGAACAGCAAACCACCCTTCAGTTACGTTGCCCTAATCGCCATGGCGATACAGCACAGTGAGCACAAGAGGGCGACCCTCAGCGAAATTTATACGTATATCACCGCCAAGTTCCCGTACTTTGAGAAGAACAAGAAAGGATGGCAGAATTCGATCAGGCATAACTTGTCGTTGAATGAATGCTTTGTCAAGGTGCCCCGAGAAGGTGGCGGTGAGAGGAAGGGCAATTTCTGGACGCTCGGTAAATTAATGTTATTAAAATATATGTTTGATTGGTCCGTTTCTTCTGTGAATGTAAAGAATTATATATAATATATTGAGAATTTATTTCGCGGATTTAATCGCTAACTTTCAAATTCCCGAATTTTCTGTCTCGGTTTTCAATTTTCCTGAATTATTTTCTATTTATTTCTATGCCTATGAATTTCTTTTATTTTAAAAAAGCAGGAGATATAAATTAATTCATAATTCTTAATTATAAAGTTATTGTCTATCTAGGGTGCGTCCACTTATGACTCACAACGCTTATGAGCATTATTTGTCTTTGTTTAATATTTGATAAACAATGAGGATGAAATGATTCCACGAGCGTTGTGAGTGTCAAGAGTGTTGGAATGTATCTTTAAACGATCATACATATCATTCTTTTTGTTCACATTTATTTGCCTTACTATTAATGGATATTCACTGTAAATTCGTATTTTCTGCGTCATCGTAGATCCTCAGTACGAAGATATGTTCGAAAATGGCAATTACCGAAGACGAAGACGAATGAAGCGTCCCTATAGAAATACTCCATACCATAAACCACTCTTCGGTGATCCGTTCTCTGCTACGACTCACATGCTAGGACCCAGGAACATTTTCGGTCACTCACCCCCTTCGTACGCCCCCACTGCTTACACGCGATACGATACGAGGTATTGATATTTTTCAAAATATTATTTGCAGACGCGATACGATACAATAATTATCATACATATTAGGTGTAGTAAAAAGAAATCCATTATTTTTCCATTCAATTTCATGCAAAAATAATGGATTTCTTTTTACTATACCTAATATATGTACACACACACACACACACACACACACACACACACACACACACACACACACACACATCTTCTGCGCGCGAAGAAGTTCACGAAAGATTCACTAAAGATCCTAGAATAAGAAAAGACACGTTCAATAACATTTAGATCTTAATTAATTCAAAATGTATATGTATATTTCTTAATTATAATTTCTGCCCGAATTAGTACTAAACTTTTTTTTTCATTATAGTGCATGGGGTCTCCAACAGTCGCAACTTTCATATAGCCATTGCCAATCGGTGAGTTTTCATGCTAAAATCTTATATGTCTATCAATGTATAAAAAATTTTTTTATATATTATATTTATGCAGCATGAAATCTTTACAACGAATGGAGGTACTTCGAGCATTTTTTAAAATTTATTATAATGGAGAGTAATGTCCAAACAAATTACATTTAATTATCTTTTTTATTTTTTTTCTTTAGATTCGCCCCTTGCGAAGTATTTGTGTGTAATTAATAATTAAGAGTTAATCTGTATAATATAACTTTCTAATAAACGGTATATTTAAATATTATTATTCGATCGAATCATTGGACGTCTCTTTGATCACAGCTGCAGCCGCAATTGCAGCCGATGCAGTCGATGCAAATTCCAACTATGAACGGCTACAGCCAACTGGGTACCTCGTTAAGTGAGTCACTATTCTCGCACTTTGTACCTTCTTTTATCGAGCGGGGTAATGCTGAACGACCAGACAAAGCGTTTCAAGGCAATTACCTGGATGTTCCAGGTGGAACGACCGGATCGCCTGGTTCCATGGGCGGCGGCTCTTTCGGTAGCAGTTTCGCCACGTGCGGCAGGAGGCATGAATCCGCGATGGCCACGGATACAATGCCTGGAAGATGCTATTGGCCCGAGAGTGAGTGTAATTTTAATAAAAATAAAAAATCTAATATTCCTAGTGTGATTTCAAAGATTCAGTTTGTAAAATTTCCGTGCGCAGATCGCAGAATATGTATATAAAATTTGACATAATTCATAATTAAATGACATTGTATGAAAGATGATGAATGATAGCTGAATGATTCAGAATCATTTTTGTCGCGAGTGACCCTAAGGATATAATATACATATTTCTTAACAAAATGAAAAAAATTATAAAAGATCGCTGATTTTTCTATATTGTATTTGAAAGTAACAGAAAAAAGTTTGGCAAACACTTAGAATCTATAGATCAAACATTATTTCAATAAGAAATAATGTTTTTTATAAAAAAATAATTAAGATAAAGGAAAAATGTTTTATTTAAATTATAAAATTGTATAGTTAAACATAAATATTGATTTTTATTGGACTGTTCACATATATAGACAATATTCATTTTTCGGAAAGTATAAATTTCCAATTCCTGTAGTCGCTTTTTATAAAAGATGATACATTTTTAAATACCGCATTATACGATCCTCTTTAACAATTTTATTAAATTCGTCTGGCGATTGTCGCAGTGGTAAACGTGAAGGAAGAGCCCGGGACCAACACCGTGTCGACCAGCGGCGTCGGCGTTGGCGTCGGCGTTGGCGGTGTCGGCGTCGGCGTCCCGTCCGGCATGATGGCCTCCGCGGCATCGTCAGGCGTCTCAACGACGGGATTTCCGCCGATGGAGTTCCAGACGCGTTCCAAGTGCTTTATGTGAACACGAGAGGAACCACCACGTTAAATAGCAGCGCGTGTTACGTGACGAATCGACGTCATGAGGAACGAGGGACGATTCTACGTGATCTATCGCGCGGTGCGTTAGATCGCAACGAGATGGATTCGCGATTCGACGAACGGTGAGCGATGCATGAAATGATGCTCTGAACATATCTCTCGATGACGCGGTAATGCGGATTATATTTAACAAATATTATCGAATAATATCTGATAATTGTTTAGCGATGTTATTGAATGGTCGTTCGCGAATCTAACCGCGCGGGGAAATACAACGTAAACGTTTGTGAAACTCGTGTAATTGCTATTGTTGTGTTAATTCGATGTTAAAGGTACGTATGTCGTGCGTCTTTACTGTGTAGGCTTGTTCACGTTCGTTAAATACGTAAAGCGACACGCAATACGGAGACAATCGCATGTATTATGCGAGATATTACGATGCGATACGACGATTCTTTAGCGATTCCGAAATCTTTTTCAAAAGTGAAGGCCGCGATCGCGCCTGTTGTGGTCCTGATCGATCGAAGACCGCCATGTTGATGATGAAAACAGGAACGATCGCGAAGAACGATCTCTCGATTTTATCCTCATTTTATCGACGATATAATATGTTTGAAAATACCTCTATATCTTCGCGCATATCGTTTTCGACTGCTAGACAGTATTTAAAATCCTGACGACAGGGCGAGAGGCGAAGAAAGTTTGTTCACAACGGGAATGAGATATCGTTTCGATTGCGATAGAACAGAAAACGCGTTTATTTGAATCGATCTATCGACTCTAATCAGTATTCGCTCCGTTTCCTTATTCGCGAATCCAATGTACACTCAGAGAAAGGTTTTTCTTTGATTTAAAGAAATGTTTCTTTGCTATACGATTAAAGAAAAAATTTTTTATGTCTTTTTTTGATTTAAACATGATTTTATGAAATTAAATAGAAAAATTTATTTGATTACCGGATACCGAATATCGGATATCCAGACAGAATGTAATATTAAATATACGATATCCGATCGGATATCAAGAAGGCAATTTCTTTGAGTCGGATATCTAATATTTTCAGACTTTTCCGGATATCCGAGAAAGTATCTTCTAAAAAAAAAGAACCTATAGAAAAAAGGATTGTATAAGATCATGAATTATAACATCATGAATATGCATACTTTTGTATAAGAAAACGAACATTTGTATAAGAAAAAAAATCAACGATTTAATGATATCAAATTTCAACCGGATATATTCCCGGATACTAATGATATCCGACTATCTGGTCGGATATTCGTGTAAAAAAGTACTGGATAATACCGGATACCGGATACTTTCCAGATATCCGGTGCATCCCTAAAAATTATGTTCAAAGAAATTTTTTCTTTAACTGTATAGCAAAGAAACATTTTTTTAAATCGACCCTTTATCTAGGTGTACTTTAACTCTTTGAGGGGCATCAAAAAAACAGAATTGCAAGATTTCACAGGAATCTGTCAAATAGAAAAAAATTTGCTCTTCAAAGTGTTAAAATATATCTTTGCAATTGAAAGATTGGATATGTAATTTGACGGATTGAATTTGTAATATATGTATAAATTCACACAGAATTATTTCAGCACTAAAGATCCAGCTTGATCTTTATTTTCTATTCAATATAATCATTATGATTTTATATTTTGGATATTTTGCAATATATAGATATATTATTTAAAGTTAATATACAACATAATTGAACATTTTCTTTTATTTTAAAAATCTAAGGAATAAGATTATATAAAATTTATGTCAAGTTATGAAAAAAATTTTTTAACGTAATTGTCTTTTCTATTGCGATATGAAACGGTAGCTCTTAGCTCCTAAATATGGATCTATTGTAAGAAGAGAGATACAGAATAAAGAAAAGCCATCTTGTTGTAGAGAGTTCTTTTATATATACAGATATATAGAATTTAATAAATAGAGCCATATAATGTATATGTTTAATCGTACAAAATATGTACGTTTTATGTGAATTATACTAATTAGAGCGAAATTGTTTCTGCGATTACGATGTAAATATACGATTAGCGTAGACATAGCAACGATTTTAAGAAACTTATACTGTGAATTAGTCTTATGTATAAATCACTAAAATTGGCTTCTAATAAATGTAACGCTTCATTCTAAAGTTATTACACACCAAAATCGTGTATGAATACTCTGTGGCAGCTGCGGTACAGTAGTTTGGCGAAAAAAGTGTAAAAAAGTGTAACAGTGGCTATATAAGAGATGAAATAAATCTTAATTATTTATCATTGAAAAATACAATTCTCTTTCAGGAAATTGCTCGAGAGAATTACTTTTGGTATTAAACTGTTTATATTTAATTGAATATATATTAAATATTTTAATTCATAGGAATCTATTTAAGAATTGTTGTATAAAATTGTTAAGACCTCTAATTTCATCATAAAGATTATTTATAAGACTGCTGCATTACATGCATAAATTTAGTATGGCATTTATCTAATCCATCGCGTTATTATGTAAATATTATACTAAATATATCAATTAAATGTCATATTAACTTACATAACGCGATGCATTATTAGGTAAATGTCATATTAAATATTATGCGGTTAACCCTCCAGAGTCGATGATCTATTAGATCCGCTCAATTATAAATCTTTGCAAAAATGTCAAATGATTCAATTTTCTTTATGTTACATCAGCAAATTTCGATTATTTTTATTAAAATATAGTTAATATTCTTTTTTATACGAGTTTTATACAAGTTATGTCATTTTCCTGGGAATTAGTACCTTTTAATTAATATAAATTAAGTGGATTTACAGGCTCAGTATTAATAACTGCGTTATAAATTTTGGCATTGATTTCAGGGAGTTAAAACTTCCTATTTTAAATATTCTAAATATTTTAAATCTCGCCAGCAGTACGAAATTTTCACTCTGCAATCTGGATCTTCAAACTTCAGTGTATATATATTTATATTATTTCGGACAGTATAAAATTTAAAAAAAATCTTACCTATTTGTGAAAGCTTTAACAATGAATTTTTATTATCATAGAATTATATTTTACTTGTTTTTTACAAATTTAAATTTATCTATTAGAATTCACAATATATATAAAAAATTGACTGTGCTTTAAAAATTCAACATTACCAATGGAGGGTTAACTTCGTTAAGAAGAACATTTTTTTTTATGTATCACATAAGACGTTACCAAAAATATCTGATCCAAGGAAAAACGTTCGAAAAACGGTTGTCCGAGAATAGTTTCTATGCAGTTTCATGCTATTGCATCCTAGTGCAAGTCCGCCGCACAGGATGTCAAAGAGAAGAATAGCGGAATACGGGAGGAGGGTGAGCTAACTGGACCAATGGCCGGCGAATGTTTTGCGAGCACGATGTTTTGCAAAACAAACCGTGCACTGTGGGCTTTAATATTCCTCGTAAAATCTGGAACACTACGAGCGCAGCCGCGTCAACACTGCGCGTGCATCGGACGCGGGAATAGCACGTGCATCTTGTTTTCCGATCTAGGAACCGAGAGAGCACGTCGATGACGTCGTTACGGCATTTCTCCTGGAGACTGCAAATAAATTTCACCGGATATACATTTGCAAGAAGCGAGTCTTCGACGCACGTCAAAAGGGGAACGATATATATTAATTTCTTTTGTATGAAGATAAAATTAACGGAGATAAAATGAAAATTGCGAAAAGCTGATACAAATATTTTGTTGAAAGCATTTTGTTATACGCAACTCTATAAAACTTTAGAATCAAAATCTCACTCTTATTCATAGTCGGATTTTATATTTAGAACCGTCTTAAGTACAGTCTTAAGATATCATGAACCAATTAAAGAGTACACATCTAGTATCTTAAGACATTATTTAGCATCTTAAGATAAAAATAGGCTATGAACATCATCCTTAAAGATTAAATTTAAATTTGAATCATTCTTTTTCAAGATTGGCTCAATTTTCATTCTTTATTTTTTTAGAGTGAGATTCCACTCCAAAGAATTTAAAGAGTATATATTAATTTTTTTCGAGAATTAAGTATTAAAAGTAAAATTCGTTTATCAGGAAAAGTATAAAATATATACTTTTGTTTACATTTTTACACGTATTATTTTATGTTTGATAACTTAACTTTTTACGTTATAGTCTTGCTCGTAATATATATGAAGAAAAAGAAAGATAATAAAGTTAGAATTTTTCCAGAAATGCAATGAGATTTTTATTTACCTAATTATATCTTTCCAATCATGTTAAGAATTCCTGGAATCTCTGAGATTTTTGCAATAGCAGTTAATGTTATAATTTTTCCGATTATATCCTTTTAATAATTCTAATAATTTGTTTTCAAGTTCGTGCCTCTTGGTTGATTTAGCGAGGACTCGAAATTCGAGAGGCATCATTTCATCCTTCTTCGAACTCTCGTATATATCCTTGCGAATTCCCTTCGTCTCTCAGAAACGTATGCTTTACATAACGCAGTTTGACACGCTCAACGTAAACATCAGATCCATTTTATCCAAACAGACACGATAGTGGACTCAGTTAGCCACGCAATATGTACTACAAAGCGCTACTAAAGCGTATAATAAAATATCATGTTAACTATTACATGAGCTAACTATGTTACAGACGCGTTTTGATATCTCAACAGGCTCAACTTAAGTAATAATTATTAGTGATTTAATTAGTAGTAATTAGTAATTAGTAATGATCTTGACGGTGTCAAAGATTTGACAAAGTACTCTTAGCGGATTATTTTTATTAAACTGTTAGTTTATTTATCATTATATTGTTATTAAATTGTGAATTTACTTATTTTATATTGTTAAATATTTTATGTTGGGTGTGTTATTAAGCTTATTATTTTATAGTAAATTGTTAAGTTCTGTAATGGAAATTTGCGATTCACTGTCTGAAAGGCTCTTGGAACAAATCTGAGATAAATTTGTTGCTCGGATCCGGATTGCAACGCACAGGAGAGAACGTGCGTTGAATGACGCATAACAGCTGTACGCAACTTTGAGTCGTGCTCGTAAAACGAATATGTATGAATAACGAGTGGTCTCCGGAAAAAAGCGATCTCGCTTATCAGGTTGTACATACATGAATGAGTATTTAAGTAATTTTTTCTTGAAAGTTGCTCGAGGTAATCTTAATCGACTATTTGACAGAGCAAATGATTCATTTAGTGAAATATCATTCCATATCTTTACAAAGTAATTTATGTTTGTTACACCATTTTATTATGTTTTATTCTGTTTCAAGCTTGTTTAAAACGGTCTATTGTTCATCAGAATTTGGATTGGAATTCTATTTATGCTTTGCGTGTAATACGAAAAACATTCGAAGAATTAAAACATAAACATCCATAGAATATCCATTAGAATACACACGTTGATTAAAATAATAACGCTTATTTGTTACGATCAAATTATCATTTGTTTATAAAATTAACACAATAATTAAAAAAGTATCATATTTTGGAATTGCTTAAAAAAAAAGAAATATAAAGAAAAATAGAAAAGACATGCTTTTATTTCTTCATAATCAATTATTACACCTGCAAAATTACATTTCAAATTTAAATGTTTGAAGATGGCTCAATAATACAAATATAAATAATAAGCAGCATACAGCCACGACGACAGATTGAAACGAAAATAATATATTTATTATTATTTTATAAGAAAATTCTTCAACGAAGACATTTCGGTCAAGATTTGACCATCATCAATACGTACAGATGACAATAAAGGGTTACAAACAAGTTAATGAAGAACGCAAAATCGCTAATCAAAGAAGTGTTAAT